TAAATGTTTATTGTCCATTTCTGTGTTTTTGGCCTCTACTAGCTTCCTCTGCAAGACAAAATGGTATTCCCTCATGTCCATTATTGTTTTCTTGGCAAATCTACATGCTGCGAATACTGCTCTGTTAAATCATGGGTTCTTGTTCACTGGATTCGTAGACCCCCAGGGCCAGATACTGCCTCCTGCTCTGGCAGTATGAATAGCTTGTAAAATTGTCCTAAACAGGTACCTGAGGATTACCTTGGCCTTACACCACTCAGTCTCATGCTTGCCCTCCCTGCTGGATGGCATAGCTTGTGATCATGTTACAGCATAAGTGACACTGGTAAGAATATGGTTATCTTCCTCAAGATACCAGTTGCAAAGGGATTGTTGTAGACAGCCAAGACTTAAAGCAGCCCTGATGTTTGTTATTGCAGGAGTTAACTAAGCCAGAGATAGCAGGGTTAAAGATGGCACTAAGGCCACTTGAGGGGTTACATCCTGTCAGATACACTGTATGGAGCACCTTTTAAATTTATTTTAAATAAATTTAATTTTAAATTTAATTTTGAATAATTAAATAAAGATACAAAGTTGTATATATAAAAAACATAAGGAATATCAATTCTGACAGGAGGGATGGATACATTTCTGTATAATAACTAAAGAAGTTTCTACAAAGAACTGAATTATTAGCTTCAGTGATTTGCTTCTTATTCTGAAGCCTGTCCGCACTGAAGCAAAAATAAAACCTTTCCATTAAAAACAAGTGAATGTCCAAGAATGCCATGTTTAAGCACTGCTAATTTTAAGAGCTAAGGGCTAGATAGGTTAAGAGATTCAGACATGTAGAAAATAGAAACTTTAACACCTAACTTTAGGAAGATGTTTAGCTTCAAGTGTGGAATTCAGACCCTGAGTTAGTACCTGTTTTCCCTATGAAACACACGGAGGTTCCTGAGAAAGCTGTCCTTAACAATGTTTGTAGCTGCAATTAGCTACTGCACAGGACAAAGTTCTGCCAAGAAATTTGCTGATCCTTAGGGATTACACCCATTTTCCTAAAAGCCTTTTTTCAAAGATTATGAACTTCTGAATAGAATCACAGAACAGCTGAGGTTGGAAGTGACCTCAGGAGGTCATGGAGTCCACCCTCCCTGCTCAAGCAGGGCGACCTAGAGCTAGTTGCCCAGGACTATGTCCAGATGGCTTTTGTATGTCTCCAGGGGCGGAGACTCCACAACCTCTTTGGGCAACCTGTTCTATTGCTTGGTCACCCTCACAGTAAAAAAAGTTCAGATGGAGCATCTGCTGTTTTAAGTTGTGCCCATTGCCTCTTGAATATTTGGGATAGATGGCATCGCACTTTCATAAAGGGGTTTACAGTTTAAAATACAAGAAGAAAGTCAATTTATTATCTTTTCAACTGGAATGAATCAATATTTAAACTCTATATAAAACTATCTTCTCTTAAATTTGAGATTCAGTGGTGGTGTTTTGTCCTCTATAGGAGGACTGGTACTCTGCAGGAAATAATTAAAGATCATAAATTTGAATAAGAGCTGAGGTAGAGATTGTTTCTAGACTTATTGTTAGAAAATTCACTTAGACTAAAAAGGTGTGTCTCACTTTACTGACCACATAATCTAAATATACAAACAGGTATGGGAAGAATATTTACAAATTCATCCCCATGTTCAAGAAGGAGTTGAACCTGAGTCTTCTACAGCTTCAATAAGTGCTCTTGGATTGCCTGCTGAGGTTAATTGCTTCTTGCATGGCATTGGCTTTTCTTGGGGTCAACAAAAAGCCAGGTGATTTTACTAGAGTAGTACCAGGCCAAAGTTGGTATGCACAGCTTCTCAGGCTTCTCAGTGTACCTGGAGAGCCAGACTGGCTGGGGTTGCTTCTGGTCCACTTGTAGTCTAGACAGAGTAAGCTCCTCACTGTCAAGAGAAGGGAGGAGTGATTCACACCTTGCCACAATCACCACATATTGCCCTAGGGAAAAACTGTCTTAAGTTGTCTACTTGTACCTCCTTGCATAATAGAAACACCAGTGGAACTCTGCTATAGGTGGTCAGTCCCAAGCCCTGGAGTGACCACCTGTGTTATGGCATTGTCTTGCGTGTTCATCTTGGAAAGGTTCAGGGAGAGGTATAGTAGATGCCCAAGTGTGATTTAGCTCAACACTTTAACCCAGCACACTGAAAAAAATATTCAACTGTACCACTAAAGACAAGAAGGTCACAATAGGATGTACACCTCTGTTCTTTGGAAATCAGGCATCCAACTACCTATTTGGAGTCATGAAAGAAGAATGCTCAGCTTACTAAAGACAAACATTTTTCCCTAGTTTTCAGTAAAGATCCAACTGCATGGGTCTGTCTGCAGTGAAACCTCTTTATAAACTGAGTTTGGTCAGACTTTATAAACTGAGTTTGCACAGATTTTAAAATATCTCTATGCAGACTTTACTCTCTATCCTCAAATTTAACTAAAGGTGATCATAATGACACAGACATGAACCCATTTTCTAATGTCCATGTCTGTCAGTCAGTTTAGTGTTCTGTCTCCATATGAAGGTGTCTGTATCCTAGTATAAATAAGGCTCTGTAAAAAAATGCTTTGAATTTATGTGTGTTGGCTTCATTTTTAACATATTGCTCTGTGTTAGTCTTTCTGTCTTTAAAGCGGATTTCTGTCTACTGTTCTGAGCTCACTGTCTGGTATTTAAATATTGCCGAAATAAATTAATTCATGTTCCATTGTACTAATGTACACTGTGTTCATTCAAAGTTTGAAAGTAGGAGAAACGAAGTGTTTTATCAATTACACAAAAGTTGCTGTTCATATTGCATGGTAACTAGTTTTCAGCGTTTGGTAAAATTTGATTATATTATGTGCTTTATCATCAATATATGCATGCTATTAAAAAAAAAAAAAGAAAGAAATCCCTTGTGAATATTGAACTTCTTGTAATGTAAAAACACATTAAAAATGGTCACAACACTTAATGTGAATGTCTTGCATGCTCATGGGGACCTGTAAGAATTAACTTAGCTAGCTGTAATAAAACAGGGCTTCCAAACTGCCTCCTCAATGTAAGGGAGCAAAAAAGACAAGCCTATACTGTAACTGTCATGTTGTCAAAACCAGCAGTGTTGATTTTTTCTGTCTGTATTGCCCTATGAAATCCTCCTAGAGATAATCATCTTAATTATATTGATCTTTGGGGAATGCTGATAAAGTTAGATGATAATGAGCTGTGAGCTGAGCAGGGGCAGCTGTAAGCCTTGCATGGACTTTTTCCAAATTGTTAGAAATATCAAGAGAATCAAATGCAGGTAGCATGATGCTCTCTCTCTCTCTAGTAATGCCCTCTTCTCTAAGCCTTTTTTCACTTCATTATCTGTACATTCCTCAGCATACACATACTTTGTTTTTTCATAAATACTACAAAAGAATTCTTCACAGAATTCTTCTCCAAGTCATGTTTTGTGTGAAGACAAAATGTTAAAAATTCCCCAGAAGGACAAGGAATACCATTTTAGCTAAAAGTGTGAAGCTGGTTTGGTTCTGAAGATTAGTGCAGTCCAAAGGCTTTTTTTTTTTTTTTTTTTTTTTTTTTTTTTGATCTATAGGCAATTTATATTCCACCCCCAGGAACGCCTGCCTAAATACGAACATATATATTTGTTATGTCTTTAGGTTTTTTGGTTTTGTTCTGTTGTGTTTGTTTGTTGGGTTTTTTTTTGCAATATGGACATTTAATGCAAAATAAGGCATGATGTCAAATCCCCCAGATTCTTTTAATGGTGGCCAGAGGAACCACTCTTACAGATGTACGCCATTTGCACTATAGTTTAAGTTTGCTGTACTCTGATAGAACTTTGGCCATGCCCTACAAAACTTTGCAGCTGGCTGCCTGAATTACTTTTAGCAGCAAATACAATGCTTGCTTGATCTTGCAGCCATACATACACACACGGTATTTCTGTGAGGCTGCTTGAAAACACAAGTTTGGCTCATATACTTATGCACTGATTATAATTTCTTATTTTTATGTATGTGTTGTCATTAACTTGATGTCAAATATAGAGCTGAATAGAAGAGACTCTCCTGAACAGTTGAAATAAAATTTGATGAAGTAATGGAGTTACTCCTGAGTCGGACTGTTGTGAGAGAAATTTGATACGATGCACACCCTTATGAGACACTGCTTCTTGAATACATAATCTGACTTTCTGAACAGAGCTACCTTGCCAGTACTACATTTTCTCTTTACCTTATTCACACTGGAAGTAGGGAAATTTCATTTTTCTTTTATCTTCAGTGACTCTAGAGGCAAAAAATTCCTTGATTGCCACTGAGTCTACTGCTGTACATTACGAAATTTATACACAATTCCAGAAGGTGTGTTAGAAATTGACTTTAAGGAATCTATTAAAGTTGTGAGCATGGCAGATGCTCAAGTTTAATTTATGGTTTGCAGAAATATGGGATATTCATTGTTGTCCTTTTTCTACTGTTAGGAGTTACGTGTGTGTGTGTATGTGTGTGTGAATTTATCATTTAGACCATACAGAAGGTAGGGTCAACACTGATTAATCATATAAAATATATACCTCAAGCTACTTTTATTTTGAAGCATCTAAAGCTGAAGCAATGTAAGTTTACATGAATTTAGATCAAGAATGGATCAGTGGTTTCTGCTTCCTTTTAAATTTCAATTTTAGACAGCAGAATCGATAACAACAGCTTTCTTATCTTGCTTTTTCCCTTCTCTTCAGATCATTGTGTGTGTATGTATGCATGTGCATGTGTGTATTTATGTAAGTTTATATGCCACTGTTCTCAAATATATTATTTCTGGCAGTACTATGAAAGGGTGATTGGACAGAAAAAGTGCTCAAGAGCCTCTAATAGATTTCAATCCAGTCTGCCTGCTGCTCTGTTTTGCACTGAGTCAAGTATTTTTTTAAGCTGATAATTGAAAACCTATCTTGTTCTTACAGAATGGCTTTGCTGTTGTAAGGCCCCCAGGCCATCATGCTGAAGAATCAACAGCCATGTAAGTACCAGGGAATATTGCCCATCTTGGAGCACTAAGGTTACTGGCAATCACCTGTGTTGTGCATGTCTCCGAAGAACTGTAATTGTTAGCAGATGACTGAAAAGGCTTTCTAGGTACTCCCAGAAGCAGATTTATGGCCTCAGAGATCATATAGCATTTTTTAAAATGCTCTGAACATTATTTATAGCTGTTTTCCTGACTGATTTGCTTTCTTGTTTCTGTTCTTCTCTATTCTACAGGGGGTTCTGCTTTTTTAATTCGATTGCAATTACTGCCAAATACTTGAGAGACAAGCTAAATATAGGCAAGATATTGATTGTAGATCTGGTATGTATTCTTGGCAAGCATCACACTTTCAGTGCATCTAGATAAAAGATAATGAATTTGTATTTATATGTCAGACTTTCCTGCTTTTAATGCCTACAAGTAATAAAGGTGTGCATTTCCTCTGATTTTGGGAACTCATTAAAGCCAGGATGGCAGTACTGAAGCCATAAACATCTATGTTTCACTTTAATGGTGTTAACTGCAATTTAATGAGAAGAAGGCACAGATCAGGGCAACTTTTATGGTCCTTAAATGAATTGATACTTCCACCGTTAAAATAACCCTACAGAACCCTAGTTTACTTTTCCCTACAGAATACAAACTTTAAATAGTCAGATGTGCTTTAAAGAATGTTGTTGCTTTGGTAACCAAATTGGCTACTTCCCCCCAGCTAGCAATGATTCAACTTGTTGTGTAACTTCGATATTATTAAACAAATCAACAGGTCATTCCCTCTAAGAAGTTCTCAAGTCATGTATGCCAGCTTTTGATGGTTCCCTGAAGGAAAGCTACATGATTAAAAATCCACTTCATTGGATTAGTCTTGTATTTTAATAGAAGGCATTCTTACACAATGCTTAATATGTTTAACAAATGGATTATTTAAATGCAGGTGACATTTAGCATGTTGTCTATATTATTTTCATGAATAATGAATTGGAGCTCTACCTTGCACTTAAAGGATCAGCCCAATACACAGCCCAAGGAAAGTTGAATGCTGATTTATGAGCACCATTTTTGTTTTCCTACAGTTCATGAGGAGGTGTAATAGGGTGTCTGACAAAGCATAGACAGGAAATGAACCCTGGCATCAAAACCTAACCTGTTACATCTGCACTTAATTAATTTTTGCAGGTGATAAAAGATTTAAGGACAAAATATGTTAAAGGGTTTTTGAAGTGCAGGGCTTAATAGTCTAAATCTTGTTCATATCTGCACTCATAATTAAATCTTATTGTGAAGTCATGGCCTTACCATCTAGCACTTTTGTTCAGTTAAACATGCTTACTGGCTGTTGAAGAGAAGCAGAGAAAGGGGGAGTGTGGCAGAAGGAATGGCAAGTGAAAAATGAGTGGTAGAATAAGTATTTGGGTAGGTTAAATATTCTTAGAATGTTTTTCAAATATTTCTCAGTGTACTACTATCACTTAGAAACATAATTATAAATTGAAAGAAACCAGTATTTTTGAAAAATTCACTTTCACTATATGTTGTATCTGTTTGCTGACTTGAATCTTACAGTTCATTGAGTTTTACTGCTCTAAATGCTGGCCAAAAGTGAAATTTAAGTTTATTCTTGTTTTTTAATAAGAAAAGACTATTCAAATTTTTTGTGAATGTTTTTAAGTCTTTTTGACTGTGTTATATTCACTTTGTTGGGAAAAAAAATTACTTCCATTTGACCTACTTAGCCTTTAAGCACTTAGGAATTCAGCTTCAGTTTTTTTGAGGCAAGGTTAAATGTGCACATCATTACCTGTGCAAATGATTACCTGTGAAGCTGCCTATCCCTACCCAGGAAAGTAGATGTAGAAAGCTCAGCCTCTCTAACTCTATCCCATTGGCCAGAATAACTCAACTGGTGAAAAGGGACAAATACATGGCTGACACAGATTACTTAATTCCCGGAGCAGTTGGGGTCCAGTAGTCTGCTCCATGGTCGGTGAAATGATATACAAAAATTGATATGGAAAATTTCTCATGTATGTGAACTATGGATAAATCACAATCCAAACTGAATAAATGAACAAGTTAATAGTGATGTCTTTATGCCCACCAACAGAGTTTTGGGCATCTGAAGGAAAGAATGGAATTACAGATGTTAGATTTGAAATTATCCTTTAGGACTATATTTTGATAGTGACTAGCACAGCAGGACCCCATGCAGGTTGGCAGCTATACATGTTACTACAATGTAAATACTAAAAAGTAATATTCAATCCCACACATTAAACTGTACTCTAGTTACAAATTAGGTGTAGTCTTCATAGTTGCTACATGTGTTCATATACAATTTCTTAACTTTTTCATTTTTAATCTTTCACTCATTTATTTTTACACTAAAATAAAAGACCTCTCTGTCAGCTCTTCTTTCCTCATTCCACCATTTGAATAAATCTCCATTTTTGAACTGACTTATATATCCTGAATACATTTGATCTGCTAAGGGCAGAATATGAACGCATTTCTCACATGGTAACATCCGCAGTCTTAAACAACACATTCCTTTGTCTAACCAGATAAATTACTGCTCTTCAAAACAGAGTAATCCTTGGTGGAATTAAAGTTTACACAAGAAAGCTAGCTTTGAGATTTGAATATTTTTTTAAAAAGACATCTCTGTCCATTTAATATTTTTTCTTCTTATTTGAAAACTGTTACAGCAAGAATATATTTAAATCGCAAAATATGCATGGAAAAGAAAGACTCATTAAAATCCCAAAATGAAGTTGTCTTATGCTTTTAGTCATAGTCTTTTCAGGTCTATCTATATATACAACATAGCTTCTCAGGTTGTTCTTGCAATGGTTGTTCCAAGATCATCCATATTTGCATGCATGTTAGCACGATCTGAGTCTGTTTTGGAGTAAACTAATCAATTCTGTCACAGTTGTAGACACTGGGATTCTGTGGTTAGTCTGCATGCCAGATTTTACTTCATTTGCCAGTCAGAGCCCTCTAACGCCACACTGGCTGCCTTCAAATCTCCAACACCCTCGCACCAGTGTATGCTCCCTTGCACCTCCAACATGTGTTACATTTAACCTTGGCATTAAGTCACAGTTGGGCTGTAACTTCATCCTCATGTTGTTTCAAGTACTTTCAACTGAGAAAAGAAAATTAACCATTATAATATTACCCCACAGAGGTCCCAGAGGAGGTCCAAGTCAAGCACAATGCAGTACAAGTAAGACTCAATCAATGTAGAGAGTCCTGAACAATGTGGGTGAAAGTCATGGGCTACATAGCTAGCAAAGAGCGCAAGCAATGAGCAGTGCTTGCTGTGCTGTTGGCAATGCACACCTAACTTGAACCTTCCTGGAGTCCAGGCATCCTGAGAAAAATGTGACCATTGTTTCTCTGATACTAAATTTGGTTCAGACCTCATAGCTTTTGTAAAATAAATAGTCTGGGTGATAGTGTTGCCATTCAGAGTATTTTGTCCTCCTTCTAAATTCTCTCTTTAAATAAGAAATTTCAAAGGGATGGATTAAAGGAGGAGAATCAATACTATGTGTAATTTTTCAGCTTCTTACAAATGCCAGTCGAGACAGTTATAAAAAAGACTGTTTTCTTTTACTGAAAGGCAAGTGGATTTTCCATTTTCACTTGCAAAATTTGTGTGTCTAACCACATACTACAATAGCAGAACTGTGAAAATGAAGCTAAAAAGGAGGAAAAGTCCACATCATCAGCCTTTGTTATACAGATGTACTGCCAGCATTTCTTTTTCAGTATGTTATTTAATGACAGAATTTCTTTTCACTGGCGTTATATAATGTTTGAAATATGGAGACTGGCCAAGGTCACTCCTTGATTGTGGAAGGCACCATCCTATCTGCCAGATGATTTAATAGCTAATGAGATCATATTCCTATGTCTTCAACCGTTGCCGTCATGATTTTGCAAAAATGAAGTATGAAGTCCTTTCCGCATCTGGCATCTCTTTTGATGTGGATCTAACTGCTGAGGGACTGCTAACTGAACTGAATGTTTCAAGAAAGCCAATTTACTCAGCTGGTCGCAGAGCCTTTGACCTCAATAGTGGAACTTGGCAAATCAATGAATACACTTATGTTTAGTGTTCTGTCAAGAATTGTGAAAAAGCTCTGTAAACCATAGATCCTTCTGCAAAATACTAGTTTGTAGTTTAAACATTAGTCTTTCTTCAGAGGCCAATGAGGCTAGTTAATTAAGCCTGAGGGGTTATGAACTGTTGGCAGTTAATAAGTCATAAAATTCCTCCATAAAACAGGATGCTAGATTCCATCACTGAGGCAAGGAGTACAAAGAGCCGGTGTATAAATATCTAATTGTACAAAAGGACTGGGATTTCTCAATGACTGCTCATCTGGAGTCTCCAGGGCACGCTCGCTATGGTTTCCTGATTTTTAGAAGCCAGTTTAAAAAATGAGTGCATTAAAGAGTAATTTGCCTGAAAGTTCAGGAAGTATGGGGTGGTGAAGGGAGGGGGAAAGGGAAAGACAAAAGGAGGGCAAGGGAGAGGCAGAGAAAAAGTGCTCAAGAGCCTCTAATAGATTTCAATCCAGTCTGCCTGCTGCTCTGTTTTGCACTGAGTCAAGTATTTTTTTAAGCTGATAATTGAAAACCTATCTTGTTCTTACAGAATGGCTTTGCTGTTGTAAGGCCCCCAGGCCATCATGCTGAAGAATCAACAGCCATGTAAGTACCAGGGAATATTGCCCATCTTGGAGCACTAAGGTTACTGGCAATCACCTGTGTTGTGCAT